CATGTCTAGATGCCCTTGCTCACAATATTGAAATGATCGCCAACATAGCCTTATATACCTGGTTACGGAATCGATGAACAATTTTGATTTACCAGTTAACAGCGATATGATCAACACCATGGAAATCTTTTAGAAATGGTTATCCACTATCGTAGCTGTCAGTTTGGAAACTTGTCGCAAACCAAAATAAAATTGATCGTTTGTAGGTAGGGCAGATGGGAATTAGAAAGACATTCTAAGATTCCCTCACACAGATTTAAGCAAAAATGTCAAGGCCTTTGTAACTTAAAGGTGCTAAGCCTTGCCAGGGAAAGTCTTATACGCACTTCGCCAGCTTTCTCGCCCGTATTATATCAGCTGCAGCCCAATCTGATCAAAATACAGATCTATATTTCGTTTCGTTTTTTATACTTTCGATGGCCTACACTACATGAAGATCTGACCAGTTGTACTGGGAGGTCGCGTCAGGGGTCATACGAGAGGCTTTTGACCCTATGATGTCAGACATTGATCAATCAATCAGCGTTGACGTTTCTGAGGGTTTACCCACAGTTCCGTGCCGAGCACGCCAAGAACTCGCCGTAACAGATCGTTTCATTGGCTAATTCCTGGTATCAACAAGTAAAACGAAATTTTGAACTATAAATACGAAACGAAATAGGATCTGTGGTTTAATCAGATTGGCTGCAGCCCAAGGGACAGGAGTAATAACACACCTATTAACGACAAACATAGATATAATGAGAATGTTGGCGAAACATTTAAACACTTACTTTTCAGTTTAAACTGAATTTTAAAAATTAACACAGATTCCGTAGCAAAGCAAAGTGCAACAGGTCGCCGGGTTATCTAATTATTTGACAAATTGATAACTCGGACTAGTGTGTTGATAAACTAATCGGTTAAATAATTAATACTTCGGAATTAGTATCCTACATAAACATGGCACTTGATTGCATTTTATGTACCGATTTATGTGAAGTGTCAATCTGTCTTAGTTCAAAATTTTAGGTCCACAGGTAGAGCCATCTTATAACCAGTCGACATTTGAAACTAAATTAGAATATAACACAAGGCAACAGTGAGGCTGATGTACCCCGCCGAAATCCCAAAATAAACGGATGACACATTCATTTTTTTCAAAAGTATTGAGCAACCAAACTGATTAGGCCTATCTATACTTAGTCTAAGCATAAAATGTTTATGGTCAAACTCAGTCAAGGTTTTGAAGTACCTGGTAGTGAAACTATACTCTAAGTTTTATCCCCTATCGTATCCCAAAGCATCGACCAATCAAATTGCTTATTTCTGCTTACCATAAGCAGAAAATGCTCATCTTCGAACTCCATCGAAGGCACCGACCTAATAAACACCTACACTAAGTTTGAACATTCTAGCTCAATTAGAAAGGGGGCTATTGTGTCCCAAAAAGTGTGACGGAGAGACAGACAGATAGACAAACAGCTAGACCCATTTTAATAGTCCCCTGCTTTCTTCGAAAGGAGAGGGACAAAAAAAAAATCTTTAATTAAAGGTAGACAACTCCATATGAAATGACCAACGAATACGGGCTCAGACTAGTAATTCTCGCCAAAACATTCCGATAAAACCACAAAGAGCCAAACAAGTCTGAATCATGTGATAACAATATTGAAGGCGGCGGTTGAGCATTTTGATTTTTTGCTAGGCCTGATCAAAGGAATATATAGGCAGTGGCTGATTCTAGTAGGCGATTTCCCCAATTCATGACAGTTTACTTCCTTTGCTTTTCGCCAAGAAAACACGAATATTCACCAAAACCTGGCATAAATGTAAATTTAAACATCCTTCATTGATTGATTGATTCCATAAAAATAAACAGGGGGACATGAAAGATACGCACACAAGAGATGGATAGAGAACAAGCTAACCCCCCCCCCCCAAAAAACAAAGCGATTTCTCGAACAATCAGGGGACATAATCAAAGAAGTTATGGTCTGAACTGCGTGAATATCGACATGGACTGAGATATTTGGAATATAAAGATGTATTTTAAGGAGCGGCCATTTTGTCCAACAGTTTCGATCCGATTTTCAAATAATTCAAACTCAACCGTCATTAGGGTGTAACGGTGATAAATTTAAACTTTTTTTAAATCGGATAAAAGTTGTGACCTCTAGAGGGACCACAATCTAAAAACATGACTTTTCGTACAATCAGGCGCCATAATTCAGGAAGTTACGATCCGGTATGCGCAAATATCGATAGAAACCAAGTTATTTTGGGTTATAAACATGCATTTCAAGTTTCATCAAAATCAGATGAAAATTGTGACCTCTAGAGTGTCCACAAGCTAAAAACGTGCTTTTTCGTAGAATCAGGGGTCATAATCCATGAAGTTTCAATCTGATACATGTCAATATCGAAAGGAACCGAGATCTTTTGAAGATAAACCTATATTTCAACAATCTGGTTAAAACACAGATCCTATTTCATTTCGTTTTTATAGTTCAAAATTTCGTTTTACTTGTCTTTACTACACTTGGATCTGGAAGAGTTGTTATTTAACTCGTGTTCTGAATGGTGTCAGGGATAAGCCAATGAAACGGTTAATCAAATATCTGACGTCATAGAGTCATAAGTCGGTCTTTTGACCCCTGACGTGACCTATCGCTATAACTTGTCAGATCTTCATGTAGTGTAGGCCATTGAAAGTATAAAAAAACGAAACGAAATATAGATCACCCTTGTTGGAAGTGGATGTAAAATTCTGGGCACGCACACACGACTCACAGTCCTTAATAATATGTCAAGATGGTGACAAGACAGATTTATATTTAAACTAAAAGCTCGGGTGGACATTACAGCAAAAACACATTTGGTTGTAACAACTAAGAATTGTTCTTCTTGTGCTCCAAAGTTTTGACCAATCAAAATGCTTATCTTTACTCGGCCTGAGCAGAAAATGTTCATCATCTTCCTTAGTGAAGGCATTGATGTAATGAAATGAGTTGCATCACTTTAAATCTGTTAGAATCAAACTGAGCGCATTCCAAAGTTTATCACTCTGCTTAATCTGAGCAGAAATGCCAATTAATAAATCTGAAATCAGTCAAGACATTTACTAAGTTTGAACATTCCACCTCAATTAGAAGGAGTATTATTGTGTCCCAAAAGTGTGAGAGTCAAATGGATGAACCCTTTATAATAGTCACATGTTTTTTTCGAAAAGCAGGGGGGTAAATATGTGAAAACTTCTAAATTAAGTTGCCCTCTTCAACATCTTTATGGGGCTAAACCAGTGATTTTCAACCAGTGTGTCACGAGATCTTCTTAAGTGTGCCGCAAATATTTTGAACCGCACTCTAAGAAAATGCGAAAAAGCCACTTGATTCCAACTGAGTATTCACTGGTGTCTACTGGTACGTTCACAGGTGTGTTTTTCTTTATTTAGTTTGAGTCTTTCTATGATTCTATGACTAGTCTGTGACTACGGTTGTATGCGTCAATGACATGCCATATTTTAATTTTGCAAAATTCAGGTATTTTTCATATATATTAAGCCAGGTGTGCCGCTAATTTTTAATGTGTTCCAAGGTTAAACGATTAATCTGTGCAAGCAACATACAATATTAAAGAAGTCGAAAATGTACAAACTGTGTATATTTGGACTATTCAAACTAATTTATCTATCAAAATTTTGCTTCAAATCCCTCTCAAAATCTATTTTATGCAGCCTCGTTTAATAGAAAAGTCTGCAGTACATAGCAAAGTCTGTAGTACATTTAAGTCTCCCATTCGATCAATAAAACCAAGCACTCCCTAGGTCATTTGAGCAGACAGCAAATGGGCAAGCTGTCAGTTACTGATCCCTTACATGGGTGTTTTTAAGGAAATGCAGTATTTTTTCAGTATGATTGCCATACTGTTATTGGAAAAAACTACTTTTTAAATAAGGACAAGGACTACACTATAATACCATCAGTGTTGGCCCCAAAAATCTAAAAAGAATTCCAAACTTTAAAGCCTAACAACATTTCGATTACTGTGACGTTATTTGGGATGGGAGTACCGCCGAACTAACACATAAACTAGAACTTTTACAACTTGATGCACTCAGGACTATATGCGGTGCTGTGAAAGGTACAAGTCACCATGAAGTGTTATATAAGGAAACTGGATTTATTACACTGCAGGAGAGAAGAAGGCGACATAAATTAATTTTATTCTACAAAATCATAAACCATATTACTCCCGAATACTTATTTCAACTGATACCACCTAATATAAATTCGTATCGCCTCCGAAACCATAGTAACATTCCAACATACTTCTGCAGAACTTCTTTATTTTCTTCTTCTTTTATACCATCTACAATTCGAGAATGGAATCTACTCGATCTTTCTAGAAACTTACCTACATTATCTTCTTTTAAATCTAAACTTGGCTACCTTGATCAAATTATACCTTCATCATACTACTCTGGTAGCAGGAAAAATCAAATTCACCATTCTCGCCTTCGACTCGCTTGCAGTGATTTAAACGGACATCGTTTTCTCAGGCATATTTCTGACACCCCAACATGCGATTGTGGTCACGCCTTTGAAGACTCTGAACATTTTCTTTTAATTTGTCCCTTACGTTCAGATGCACGATCTGCAACAATATCAAAACTTCCAAAACTTTATCAAAATTCTCAAAATTTATTATTCGGAACTGAAGACAGAAACAATTCTGGAGAAATTTTTTCGGCAGTACATAACTTCCTCGACATCTCCCAAAGATTTTGAAAATTCGGTATGTAAATTTATGAAATATAAACATTCTGATTGTGGTTTGTACATATCGTGTATATAGCCATCTTATATTTTAATCCTTTACTTTACTTTACTTTTCATTATATATTTATGTTTGTACTTTTATGGAGAGGGGGTATATAGGCTTTTGCCTGTTCTCCAATCCAGTTTCTGTGAATAAATATTGTTTAGAAAAAAAAAAAACATTTTGGTGACAACAACACATAACAACCCATATTTTAATATTTTTTTTAAGAAAACTTGTATTTATTTTGATGGTGATACTGATACACATAAAAGCACGAATAACAACAGATTTGATTATGGTATGTTTCAGGCTAATAGGAAATAAAACATCATTGTGTGATTAACTCATATGTATATATATATATATATATATCTTATTGATCTAGGAGTTATCACATAATCTGATTTATGTTTGTTACAAATTGGTCAACACCATGGCACATTTCAAAAAAGAAAGTAAAAAAAACTTTTATATTAAAAGCATCTAAAATTCTGTAATTTAATTTCTTGTTGATTTCCTTTGTTTAAAATTCAAATCATTTTTAACAGTTTAATAAAAAAAAAAAAAAAATCTAATTATATAGAACCTAACCCAGTCAACACACAAACAACAAACTAATGGTTTCTGATACACAACCTTGCAAAAGTAGATAATGTGCATTGAATTTGTAAAATAAAAATGACAAAAACTGATTTGTGTTAAAGAAATGTGTTGTCCCATTGCTAATACCAAATTAATATTACAGTGATTTATTGAAATAGGATATGAGACTAAAATAAAAATGTGTAGAATTTGGCGTCAGGACTAGAAGATATTCATTATAGACCATTTTAGTTACTCTTCTGGAAATAGGTCTGGCTGCCTTTAGGATCTGGCTTCATGGTAGCACTACCTGGCTTCCATCCAGCTGGACACACTGAAATATATCAACAACATCATTTATAAATCTAGAAACAATTGTATGAAAAAACAGTATGAAATTTTTACACAATGGCACGCTATCTACAATTCACCGTCAGATATACAAATTCTGTATGAAACCAAAACAAGTTTTGCGGACGTTACTAAAACTGAACTAAACTTATGTTTATAATTTATATTAAGCCATACTTGACACTGTGGGCCAGCAAACATGGATATGACCTTTAAAGCATAAATAATACATTATTGAGGATAAACAACCCACAAATCAGTTTTCACAACATATTTTGTAATTTGTTGTTATTGCTTGTCTATATTCCCCTACACATTTGTGTTATGTTTGTGCTTTCCCTGATGGATAATTACTAATCTGAAACACACTGGATTGATAATACTGAAGCATTTTATTTCAGGTGGTCTGACATTTTGCTTGTCCGGCGTGGTTTCGCCTTCTCAGTGGTGCAGAACAGAGGGCCTGACAAGGACAACTGTCTAGTCCTTTGGATGATATGAAAAACCGAGGTCCCGAGTATACATTGGAATGCACGTAAAAAAGATCCCTTGGCAGTTAGAATTCGATATAAGAGTAGGCAAAAGTGCCGCTGCCTGGGCAAAATTTCCCTCATAGCACACTGTATGGCATATGCCCGTCTTCATCAGCCCAGTATAGGAGCAGAACAGTAGAACGTTAAACCCCATTTCATTTCATTTCTGATATTTTGCATGTGTACATACTGCCTGAGATTCATACAAGGGGCATAACTCTAGTAAACATGTATATTAGGAATCGGACTACATAATTGTGTTACTAATATTATAATTGAACATTACAATTTGTTACTGTACTTCCTTGAAAACAATGAGGATTCTCTTTGAAATGTCCTCTAAATAAATCAGTAATTGTTCTTCCATAAGTATGTATTATAGTTTATTACTCTACTTGTTACTAAATGTTTTGTAATACTAATAGTGAGTAAATTGCAGCTAGATATAGTGATTCTAATCGGAGCATGGAGAAGCTAATGCTAAGATTTCTGTTTGTAATAAGACAATTTCACAACATTAACACAGAACAAGGGTTATTACAATTTCTTTTTCACTGCAAAACTACACACATTTTTCACACTCACAGTTCAATTAATTTTAAAGTTAGGGAAGGCAGCTAAAAATAAATTTTCTGCCAACATTGAAAGTATGGTTAATTTTTATTAAAAAGTAGACATTTATAAATTACCTTCACCATGTTTATCAGTAAATTGGAAAGCCTGTACCAATCGTAATGTTTCATCTACTGATCTACCTACAGGTAGATCATTTATAGTAATCTGACGTAGATTGCCTTTATCATCAATGATAAATAATCCTCTGGAAAATAATAATACACACATCAAATTGATGCAGAACATTTACAGTTTATACAAATGTAATACACAGCTATTAATTTTAATTTTCTTGTCCAATATTTCTTTATTTGCTCAGCTTGCTGTGAATGGCTTTGCCAATGCTTTTGTTCCTGTTTATCAATACAATTGATCATCTCTAAAGATTAAAGCAATGTAATGGTACCTGAAGGCCACACCATCATCTTCTTTCAAACATCCATACTGTTTGGCTATTGCATTGGTCTTGTCAGCTAATAATGGAATTTTCATTTGACCCAAACCACCTTGTTTTCTAGGAGTATTTACCCTGTAACATTTCAATATCAAGCACAATTCAAATATATATTTTGTTGTTTCTAATTCACAACAATTAACTCCTTTCTACAAGACAGGAAATTTCCTTTTTACAGACCAAATTTCATTTTAATCTGAAATAGTTTTAAAATAATATACTGCATTATGTTTCATGTAATTGAAATGGTCTGTTTGGTTGCGCTTTATGTGAAGTGAATTTCTTGGAGATACCTTTAGATGGATAGTGAACAAAACTGAACAAAATTGCAATCAAATTTACTTCCCATGACAACTGTTAACATCTATACGACCCTTGAGATTATCTCCCATGCCAACTGTTTACATCTATAGATATGGTCCTTGAGATTACCTCCCATGACAATTGTTAACATCTATATATAAAACCCCTGAGATTATCTCCCATGACAATTGTTAACATCTATATATAAAACCTCCCATGACAACTGGTAACATCTATACGACCCCTGAGATTACCTCCCGTGAGACTGGTAACATATGACCCCTGAGATTAACTTCCATGACAACTGGTAACATCTATATGACCCCTGAGATTACCTCCCATGACAACTAGTAACATCTATATCTGGGTAACATTTATATGGAGAGGAGGCTGTCAAATATAAAATACAGAACCAGATCTATTTTACAGTTCTCATAATAATCTATTGTAATTGTTTAGCATACATCATAATGCTACATATCAATCTGAAAACAATACTAATTACAACTGCAATTCAGTAATGTCGGGTTTCACCAGTGCCACATTACCCTTGGAAACGTAATAAAATCGACGCAGAATTAGCCAATAAATCCAGCAATATAAATTCCATTTATAGAACGAAGATGCGACACAATGACACCACTTCCATTATCAACAAAATATTTAAATTGGATTATTACCACTTTGCTTGTCCTTTGTGTGACCGAAAATTGGTTAAAATTTTAACAAATTTAACCCTTTATAAAGCCTTATTAAAATGCAAAAAAATCTTAAAAAGTGATCCTGACAAAATTGGTTATTTCTTGGCAAGGGAAGATGTTAGAAACACTCTTTTCATATCTATATAATCGTAATAATTAATACTACGTAGAGAGAGAGAAATGGGGTTTAACGTCCACCCGACACAAACTAGGTCATTTCGAACTAACATATGGTTCAATTTTATTTCTATAATTCGCTTGCGCTTAGGAGTCTTTACCAGTGGGAGGAAAACGGAGGACCCGGAGAAAACCCACGAGGTTGGACAGGCGACCCTACTTCTTGTCACGTACAACCGCGGATTCGAAACCACGCCAGTTGACTCAATGACAGACTTAATGATACAGCGTGCACGTGCTAACCACTAAGCCATCCAACCCCCCTTCATACTACGTGTCCATTGAAATAAACATCATATAATCATATTTGAATAATGAATATCACCTACTTCAAATATTTGTTTTGGGGGGCTAAAAATACAGTTTTTGCCAAAATAACATTACTTCCGGTTATAATGAAAATCTTAAATTAGTTTTATGAAATTGGACATGGCATTAGGCATCATATGTTGAACATTGTATGAAAATCGAATAATAATTGACATTCTTATGGACCAACAAGCCAACAGTGAGGCTGATGTCCCCTGCCAAAATCCCAAAATAAATAGATAACACATTAATTAATAGCACATTTATTTTTTTCAAAAGTATCAAGCAATCAAAGCATCAACCAATGATATTGCTTAGCTCTGCTTAGCTTTAGCTCGAAATGTTAATCATTGAACTCAGTCAAGACATTCACCTAATGAACATCTACATCAAGTTTAAACATTCTACCGCAATTAAAGATGGGTTCCCAGAAAAGTATTCATCGGGTGGTTATTTCCAATAAAAGTATGGTAATTTTGGTATACATTGTATATGGAAAGTAGAGATATCCAATCTTACTAGAAAAATACTGGATTCCCCGAAAAACACTCATGGAGCGTATACAGGACAAAAATGTAAGGGTTCCCCTAATCAACAGCCTGACGATTAGGAATTTCTGCACGCGTGATGTCAAAGGTCACACGCGAACATTGAGCACTTGATGTACAAGTTGATAAACTTTATGAAGAGTTAGACGTACAACACTTTCTGAGATAAAAATGACGGAAAAAGACGCGGGTAGTGGATAATCTGAGAATTTAATTAGGATTCAATATTTGTAATAAATAGTAAGCGATTAAAGACAACATCGTCTTATGTATGAATTCACCTCTGACTTCCAAGAGAGGTAAGTCACGTGACATAAACATGACCTGGTTTGATCGAATTTTTATAGCAGGACATTCCTTCACAATTACAATGTTTGAGAAGGATTTGAAGCAAAGTTATGACAAATTAATTAGTTTGAATATGTTTTTAGTCCATATATACCATTAAATCACCCAGTTTGTACGCGGGAACCCATCTTTAAAAGTAGAGTTGTTATGTTGCAAAGTCTTGACCAATCAAATTGCTTATTGCTCCTTAGTCTAAGCAGAAAATTCTCATCATCAAACTTAGTCAAGGTAATTATATAATGAATCCATACTCAGCGTTTCATTAATCTCACTCAGGGTTTCATTTTTTTTCCGGCATTTTTTCATTTTAATTTATTAGCCACATATTTTCTCCGCCAAAAAAAGGAACAAATATCTATTCTATTACATATTTTCAGTATTTTTTTTATTTCTTTTACATAAGTACATACAATATACATATGATATTACAATTTACAATATTCTTCTCTGCTTTGCAGAAGCCCATTTTTTTAAAGCTTTTTCAACATCTGGGTTAACCACTTTTCCATTACTTAGTAACATTAAATTACACAGTGTATTTGTTTTTGTTTTTTAATGAAAATCTATATCTGAAAATTTCCATTCATCCTTAAAAGATCTACCTTTTCAGAATGCGCTTAATCAAAAGTTGATAATCGAGACTATGTTTTTTATTGTACCGACTTTAGTAATGATGATCGAGGCTAGGCCTAAAATTCAAAAGCTAATATCTCGGTTCAGAGTGGAGCAATTTGACTGAAATTTCCAGCATATTCTATTCACGTATCTAATTTTAACTATTATAGTGAGAACTGCCAGTTCTTTATCTAATCTCCCACAATGCCCCTTTAAGATTTTTCTTTTTCAAAATTTTTACCTGTCGCGAACTTTTGAGGTAGACTACATGCAGACCTATTGTAGAAGTTAATATCGCTTCAACATTCAAGGATGTAATAATATTAGAAGGACGAGAGTTGATGTCAGTATCATCTGTAGACTTGGAGCATTTTGGTGGTGACATACTAAATAAAATCTGACATTCTTCTATCGGACGTTGATGAAGGCTGTTCAATTTTTCGCTATGACCCATGGCATTTGATTTGATGACAACTGACTTTCGACAACCCAAAGAATATATACGCAATTATAAACTGTAACAACAAACCTGGCTTCATTTATTAACGATACGGGCAACAGGGGTAAGAAAAAGATAAAACAGAAGTCATAATTCAATAATCCCAAATAAATCGAACGAGTATTATTCATAGTGTCTGTCATTTTGAACATATAGAAACTGTCAAAAAAGCCACCGATTCGTATTTAAGACAGATAATTAAATTTGTTGTCTCTTAATTAGTTTATTACTACTCTTACTGGAAATATACAAATCAACACTAATCCGAGATTGATTTCTATTATTGGCACCTAATTGATTGATAACTGACTCAGCCAAGCACAACAGACTGTAACGTGTATGTACGGCGTGGAAATCAAAGCTTTGTGGCAAGAAAAATTTATTGCCACGGCTACTAAAAAAGAATCGCCATACAGGAAAAAGTTATCGCCAAAAATTTCGCCAGATTGAATATTTTATCGCCAAAATTATATTTTTATCGCAATTGGCGGCAATGGCGATCGACAGCGTGGCGCTGCTCTCACTTAATTGAAACTAAAGTTATTGTGCCCCAAAGCATCAACCAATCAGATTGCTTATCTCTGCTTACCGAAAGCAGACAATGTTCAGCATCAAACTCCATCAAGGCATTCAACTAATGAACCCCTACACCAAGTTTGAACATTCTAGCTCGATTAGAAGGAGAGTTATTGTGTTCCAAAGTCCCAACCAATCAAACTGCTTATCGCTCCGCTTACCCTCAGCAGAAAATGTTCATCATCAAACTTAATTAAGGTATTGATGTAATAAAGCTATACACCAAGTATCCCTACTCTCACTTAATTAGAACTAAAGTTATCGTGTCCCAAAGCATCAACCAATCAAATTGCTTATCTCTGCTTACCCTAAGCAGAAAATGCTCATCTTCGACCTCCATCAATGGCGCAAATACAAATCCGAAATTGAAAAAACTGAGCGCGATATATTTTGCGCCTTTAGCATGAGCAATCATCTTGATCTATCAAATTTGTAAAGATAGGTTGCCAGGCAACGAAACATACGCCCACAGCAGCTAAGTCGTCCGAGCAGTCAACAAGAGTTGTCGCATATTTTTTCTATTGTCGGTAATCAAGCATTTATAATACACTAATTCATTAAGTAATTATCCCCAAATCATCAGACATTGTTTGGCTTTTAGTTCTGCCCCATAACGTTTAGTATACGAAACATTTAATATCATGGATTTAGCTGTTCAAGTTATCAAAATTCATTGAAAATCAATATACTTGTTCGTCCCAAGACCTTAAACTCTATTTATCAATCTAAAGTCAATCGGATGATAACTTTGGTCTCTAGAGCATCCACAAGATTTTTCAAAGTAATCAAGGGCTGTAATTATCGGATATCGTTGAAAATCAATAGGCTTCTTCGTCTCATGACCTTAAACACTGTGTATGAATTTAAAGTCAATCGGATATTAACTTTAGCCTCAAGACCGTTCACAAGATTTTCCAAAGTGATCAAGGGCCATAACTCTGGCAGAAATTATCAAAAATTGGTGAAAATCAATAGGCTTCTCCATCTCATGACCTTAAACACTGTGTATAAATTTAAAGTCAATCGCATATTAACTTTAGCCTCAAGAGCATCCAGCAGATTTTCCAAAGTGATCAAGGACCAAAACTCTGGCAGTAATTATCGGAAATCATTGAAAATCAATAGGCTTCTTCGTCTCATGACCTTAAACAGTGTATAAATCTAAAGTCAATCGGATATTAACTTTAGCCTCTAGATTGTCCACAAGATATTTCAAAGTGATCAAGGGCCATAACTATTAAGGGCCATAATTATCAAAAATTGGTGAAAATCAATAGGCTTCTCCATCTCCTGACCTTAAACACTGTGTATAAATTTAAAGTCAATCGCATATTAACTTTAGCCTCTAGAGAGTCCACAAGATATTTCAAAGTGATCAAGGGCCAAAACTCTGGCAGTAATTATCGGAAATTGGTGAAAATCAATAGGAATCTTCGTTTCATGACCTTAAAGTTAAATCTAAAGTCAATCAGATATTAACTTAAGCCTCTTGAGCACCGGACCAACCGACGGGGGCGACAACAATATACGACCAAATTTCAATGTGGACGTATAAAAAATGGATAATTGAGACGTTTTTTTTATCGCGTACCGACTTTAGTAATGATGATCGAGGCTGGGCCTAAAATTCCATCATTAAATTCTCGGTCCAGAGTGAATCGATTTTCAGCAAATTCCCTTTACATTATCTAGATTTTAACTATCATAGTGAGAACTGCCAGTTCTTTACTTAACCTCCCATAATGTATCTTAATAATATCTAATAATTCCCTAATTATCTAAAAGGCTTAATCCTGTCTACATCACTATCTACTATTACCAAATTAACACTACATTATGACATTTAATGCATTGATAATGAATTGGTCCCCATGGCACCATTAGGAAAGCTATTAAGTCCAATTATCTTACATTCCTGTTTTAGATATTACTAATTAATTGTTATTAGCAAAAGTAATCAAAACATATATCATAATTATCAAATTAAAGTACCAGTGTCTACATGCATTTATAAAACTAGTAGTTCAGGAGCGTTTTTAGATAAACAAAGTATGGATAACCACAAGAGCTACTTGAATAATTGAACATCTGATCTGCTGCTGACAAGGACCAATCAAAGATGGAAGTACTGAGATACTCTTCCTGATGCTATTTAGCTGTTTTGGGACATGGCTGGCTATGATAATTTACACAGACCAAAGATATGACAAGATGTTGCAAATTTAACTAGATATGTACCACTTGATAACAAACATAGTAAGGAATATTATGAAATAATCTATGGATTTAGGCAACTAAAGAATTCGCTTACCATGCTAAATGAGAATAAACACTGTCTGTAGAACAGGCTAGGACCTCACAGTTAATATTACGGAATTCCTCTACTCTGTCACTGAAGGCAATAATTTCTGTTGGACAAACAAATGTGCTGGAAAAGAGAAGTATGAGAAGAAACTATTACTGGTATATTCTTTCGTCCTCAAGAAAATTAACTAGAATTGTCAAGCATAACATTTTCCTACATAATTGTTTGACAAACTAAAAATAGTACTGGGCAAATATTTTGACATATTTTTTAAAGCCTCTTATAATACTTCAATAATGCTTCAAAAAAACAAAAAAGAAATTGTTATTAACAGTGGAACATAATAAATCATTGCCAACTATGCAAAACAAATTTTATTAAATGAATTACATGTATTCAAATAGACAGCTCAATGTTTAATTGACCCATATTTCACAAAAGCAACCCATAAATCCAACACTATTTCAAGAACAAATTCCGTATATAAAATTCAAATAGTCTGACCATTACAAGAGCTACTAACCAGCAGACAAGTGTGACAACAATATGAGTCATTCCATTGGCCAGACAAAATATGTATCAATAATTTACTCGAATTTCAGATATCTAATTTTGACCTCTCTAGTGTAGATATATACAGCTCAAATTTGGTAGTCTTAAAGAACTTTTTGTGTAGATTACGAATCTGCAATCAGATTACAGGTGAGTGGTAGGGTTCGCAAGATGCTACCTCGCCATGAAACTGAAAAACATTTGGTGTAAATGTATATTTTCTGGATTTTGTAGTGCTCCAGGAGCTACAAGGTAATAGATATAGACCAAAATTTTAGCCTATCCAGAGATTGCTGGTAGTACTAAATAAATACGAAACATGAAAACGCATCAGTTTTCACTAGATTCCCAGAAAATTGGCCTTGAATATGGTTTCAGACACAAATTTTCAAAAATTGCCTTGTATTTTCGAGCTGAAAGAACCCGGTAGATAAGCTGAAACTTGGTGTAATTATAGTTTGCACTAATGTGTCCAACATGTGTTAAAGCCATTCTTGTCCCATGCCATCTCGATATTTTTTCGATTTTTTCAAAATCTGTGTTTTGGGTCAATTATCATATTTTCGAGCCAACTGAACCCGATAGATGAGCATCTAAAAATCTGAAACTTGGTGGAATTATTAGTTTGTACTTATGTCTCTAACATATGTTAAAAGTTTTTAACTTAAAACCATTCTTGTCCCATGCCATCTCAAAATTTTTTCGATTTTTTCAAAATTTGTGTTTTGGGTCATTGCATGTCAGTTATCACCCAATGAGTTAAACCGCACCCCCTTTGATTTTGCTGAAATTTGGTTTATATGGTTATTACTATTAGGGCTGAAAAAGCTTATATTCCAAATTTTAGCTTGATCTGTCTATCAGGTCATGAGATACGGTCCACCCAATTTTGGGAATTTCGGCCAAAATGGGCGTGGCTACCATTATTCAAATGACCATAACCCAGTAACCAATAGGTCAAAATTATTTTTGACATTCAGGTGTGTTTTAAGGATTGAAGACCTTTTGACCTTGTAGACCATGTGACCTTGAGATGAACTTTTATGAAAAATCTAGCTCAACTTGTTTTCTTCACAATGTCAAACAATTGGAGGTATAAAATCTTTTATAAGCATGTAAAATCAAGTTACATATTCGCATCTGAGGCTGAAAATCAGTGTTTTTGCACTTGAAGCACAGAAACCTGCCGCAGACTTTCCTAAAGATAGATAACTATGATTCAAACAGCAAGTCATCCTCATTCCTATTCCAGCAATTTTGACCTATTGGTTACTGGGATATGGTCAGTTGAATAATGGCGGCCACACCCATTTAGGCCAAAATCCCCAAAATTGGGTGGACCGTATCTCAGGAACCGTTAGTCGGATCAAGCTAAAATTTGGAATATCAGCCTTTTCAGCCCCTATAAGCATAATGTAAACCAATGGTTTAACTCATTTGGTGATAATTGACATGTAATGACCCAAAACACAGATTTTGAAAAAATCGAAAAAATATCAAGATGGCATGGGACAAGAATGGCTTTAACATTTGTTGGAGACATTAGTACAAACTATAATTACACCCAGTTTTAGAATTTTAGGTGCTGATCTACCAGGTTCTTTCGGCTCGAAAATATGAGGCAATTCTCAAAAATTTGTGTCTGAAACCATATTCGAGGTCCATTTTCTGGAAATCTAGTGAAGACTGATGCATTCTCATATGTCTCTTATGTAGTTCTACCGACAATCTCTGGATAGGCCAAAATTTGGGTCTATATCTATTACTTTGTAGCGTCTGGAGCACTACAAAATCCAGAAAATATACAATTACACCAAATGTTTTTCGGGTTTCATGGCCAAGCAGCATGCAAACCCTATTACTCACCTGTAATCTGATTGCAGATTCGTACTCTACATAAAATGTTCTTTAGAAGACTACCAAATTTGACTTGTATAACTTCACTAGAAAGGTAATGAGAGCATCGCTATCGCTGCAATATATGTCCACATTCCTGCTTTGATTCAGATGGTACTTTTTAAAATAAAGTGGGTGTGACACAACCCCTGGGGGTCGGGACATGCACCTAAATAAATAGTTGCTATTCTTACGGAGACAGAGAGAAATGGGGTTTAAAGTCCACTCGACACAAACTAGGTCATTTCGGGAGGAACATATGGTTTAATTTTATTTCAATATTTCGCTTGCGCGTAGGGGTCTTTAGCAGTGGGAGGAAACCAGAGGACCCGGAGAAACCCACAAGGTTGGACAGGCGACCCTGCTCCTTGTCACGTTCGTACAATAGTATCATCCTTAGGATGCAAAGTTTCAAAAGGATCTATAAAGAATTGCGGCCTTTGCTTTAGGTGACACAAAGACACAAAAATTGGGCGTAGCTCTGTCCAGGGGGTTAGGCATGCACCAAAAATAATAGAGGTCATCCTTACGGTAAGTATGAAAACTTTTCAAGATGATCCATTTAGAATAGCGGCCTGTAGGCGACACACAGACACACAAAGAGAAAATGGGCGTGGCTCTGACCCTAGGGGTTGGACATGCACCACAAACAAAACAGATGATCCTTAGAGTATAAGGTATAAGCATCCAAAGTTTCAAGATAATCTATTAAGAACTGCGCCCAGGAGGTGAGAAACAACCAAATACAAAAAGATGGGCGTAGCTCTGCCCCTGGGGCATAGCTCTGTCCAGGGGGTCGGGCATGCACCAAAAATAATAGAGGTCATCCTTAGGGTATAAGAAGTAAGTATGAAAAGTTTTCAAGACAATCCATTAAGAAAAGCGGTCTGTAGGCTACACGCAGACACACAAAGAGAAAATGGGCGTGGCTCTGACCCCGGGGGCTGGACATGTACCACAAACATAAGGGTTGATCCTTAGGGTATAAGGCATAAGTATCCAAAGTTTCAAGATAATCCATTAAGAACTGCGGCCTGTAGGTGACAAACAACCAAATACAAAAGATGGGAGTGGCTCTGCCCCTGGGGTTTGAGCATGCACCAAAAACAATAGGGGTCATCCTTATGGTATAAGGAATAAGTATGCAAAGTTTCAAGACAATCGATAAAGAATTGTGCCCTGTAGGCAACCCACAGATACATACAGAGACAGAGGCGACGGCATAATACATCCACATTATGAATGTGGATGTATAACCAGCGGTTGCCAGGCAGGATACGCCCACATTTTGCAAGAGATGGATAGAGAACATGCTAAAATCAAACGCAATTTTTTGTACAATCAGGGGCAATAATCGAGAAAGTTATGGCCTGAAATGTGCAAATATCAAAATGGATGGAGATCTTTGGGATATAAAGATATGTTTAAGTTTTATCAAAATCTGATAAAAAATTGTGACCTCTAGAGAGTCCACAACCTTCATATGTGACCCCCCATGGTATACTTATTCGTAGTGAGGAAATTTTAAAAATTGAGTTAATGTTATTTTCACATTCTCCAACTCATTACCTTCAATTTGATGTATAGTTTGTTTGAAATGGGCAAAATTTGACTGAGCTCTGTCCATTCGAAGCTACCCAACTCACAAAATTAAGTTTTGAGAAAAAGCAAGTCCAAGATTTGGTATGTTCCAAAACAAAATCCCATAGCAACCAGGCCATTTATTTGCTGTTTTGTCATTGAATATATCTTTCTTTAGGTTTTCAGGGGTGCTGAAGATGAAAATCGAAGTAAAAATTTGATCCGACGATTTCCGCCATTTATTTGCTATTTTGTCGTTTAATATTTTTATTTAGGATTTCAAGGGTGCTGACGACGAAAATCATAGTAAATGCACTCCTTTCAGGACGAAACATCCATAATACATACGGCATATTCACATGATAGTGTTAATTATACTGAAGAATAATCTATATATTAGTAGTCTGTTTTGTATATTATAACGTTGGTGAGATTAACAGTTAATCTCATCAATTAATTAGCACCCTAGTGCCAGCTAGTGGTCAGGAGATTAAGATTGTTGATTGGATAATCATCAAAGAAGCCGCCATTGCTGTACGCATGTTCATTTAACACGTGAATTAAAATAAGATTTTGCGTGTATGATAGGTCTATTATTATTTTCAGGTACCGTATTAGGCCGCGGTTAATTGTCAGTTTCTCATGACCTGAGTTTGTAAAATATATATGCTACATGCGGTAATTATTAATTACTGAGATGAAATATTTATTTTTTAGTTTAATGCGGTTTCTATTTCAGCAATAACTAATGTCAGTTACTTGGTCGGTGGAAACCCAACCCAACGGTAACCAGTGTCTGCGATTTCTTCACATTTATTAAATATTTATAGATTAAAATATATGTTGCACAATATCCGGGCACATCGGAAGACTTGATCATAATAAATCCGTTTAAATTATTAGTGATATGCTTCTAAGTTAACGGTTTGTTAATTCATTCATTCTTGGCATTTCATTTCTTTATCCTTCCCTACTTTGACAGTTTACGAAATGAACTGTTCCAAATTGGTTGATGATTTGTTCTGACATAAATAATTAAAAGTATACACTTGGAATTTTAAATACAAAATAAGTTAGATTATTTAACAAGTTAGTCAAAGAATTTACTACACACGTGGTTGCTTCTCTAGCAGTGAGCGAAGATAGTACCACTGCCATGGAAATAGCCCGTATGTTAATTGTCGTCAACATTGAACACATCTTCGGCAAGAGGCATCATGATAATATAAATACTGTTATTATTTTGTCTAACTTAATCAAACTGATTACATTTATTTGTATCTCTGTATCTTTTTGAGACTGTTTATATAGTGTTGTTAATAAAATACCGTGAAGGGCGCGAAGCAGTGTCAACCAGTCGGTATCTCATGATCGAGACTATCTCATGGCGGCAGTTCTTGGACCGTTGCTAGTCAGTAAATGAAATAATTTAGCAGGAACTAAAGACATTTATATCTTTCTGTGAATTTTATTACAAATGACAAGTGCCTTATAGGGTATATATATGTGGTCTTTGGTGAATGTTGTAGCTACCATTCCTTGGTATGGATGACAGACATGATACGGCTTTATCACTTCCGTTTTGCGGATGGACTCACATTCACATTCTAGCCTACTTTTAAGTACCTTACTTATCACCTACGGTGTCATATTCTGCGATAAATAGTGGATTTTAATGCGTCAATTCATTGTTCATATTTAAAGGCAAACAAATATAGTTTTGGACCTCACTAAATTTGACCAAATAATTATAGAAGTGCATAATTATTACGGATGAAAACAGACATGCGGGCGGGTCATGAGAAACAAACAATTAATTAACCGCGGCCTAACGGTATCAAAATATGAGTCCCTATAGAAATGTCATCTTTCATAGTCAAGGAATACTTGCGTTCACTTTCGTGCATTCTGGCTTTGATGTAATTAAACAATGGCAGACTCGAGAATCGTCGCAATTCGGCTGGTTGGTCTAATTTTTTCGACCCATGGTGATAAGAGAATTTTAAACAATAATATCCAAGATGCATTCCTTACTTTGCATGCCGTACGTATGAAGAAGCGACAGTAAAGTGAATTCATCTATCAATAAAATTCTCTTCGAAAAGAAAATTATTGGTCATTTTTTTTATTTCCATTTAAGGCCTATAAATTATTTTTTTAAAGATGATATGAGATATCAGATAATCACTACTTGGATTAATTATTCGAAGTAAATAAGGAGTTGTCGACGGCTTTATCATTGACCCGTGACAGTTGATTAGTATTACTCAATGACACCCACCCACATGTCAATTAATTTACATAATCAGCCCCGTATACGATCAGAATTCATTTTTTTCTGCCACTTTTGAGAGTGAATCGCATGTAGGTATCCAAAAACATTATTGCCAAAACCAAATATTTATCGCCTGCTCGAGTCAGCCATGTAACCATAATGCTTTTCACTCGGTGTCTGGGCCAATCAGCAAACGAGTTGTGTAGACAGCACAGCAACAAGCGGAGGTGGTTTATATTTTTTAGGGTTTTAAAACTCGATTGTATCCGTTCAAAATCAATTCATCGACACTAATTTGATCATATTTGTAAACTAGAGATTCTCCGCTTCACAACGATGCCAATTATTATGCAAGAGGAATGGCTGGTCGTCCCACAGCGAGCGAAGAAAATAACTAATTTCGCCGAGAATTTTAACAAATAGGACAGATTTAAGAATACGGTACTCTTACAAAACGTTCAAATAAAGGTGTTCTAAAATCTTTTATTGCTATTTTGATCTTTTGAGTCGATAGATAGTATATTTATAGACTCATTTTGTGAAAATCTCAATTTCGATCAAAATCAATATTTTCACTTATTTTGTCTCTAGTCCAAAATTAGATTTTGCGTATTCCGACTCACTTTGATATAAGCGGTCACATATTACACTTCTACGCAATTTGCGTACAAAGAGCGGCCATTTTGTCGGCAGTTTCATTTTGATTTTCCCGAAATTCGAATTCAACCTTCATCTGGAATGGTGATGTATTTAAACGGTTTTTAAAATCGGAAAAAAATTGTGACCTCTAGAGAATCCACAAGCTAAAAATGCAATTTTTCGAACAATCAGGGGCCATAATCCAGGACATTAAGTTTGGGTATCCGCGATTATCAAAAGGAACCAAGAACTTAGTGTGTAATGGTGATATATTCACACTTTTTTAAATCGGATAAAAATTGTGACCTCTACTAAGGCTGGGAATCGATATGAAATTTCAATATCGATATGAAATTTCAATATCGATTATCGGCAAGAATTTGTCAGCGATTATCGATAATAATCGATTACCATTTTTCCGGAAAAATCCGAACTTTACCGACCTGTTATTTGTGTTGGTCGACACAGGCTACCACTATTTTGTTGTATTTGTTCTTCAACAGTCATGTTTAATAATAGTATTGTATAATAAAAATATTCCAAAACATCTTCAGTCTTTATTACTGTTTATTTAAACACATTATATTTATTAATATTATTATACAATCTGTCAATACTCAATCGTAATAAAAAAACAAACGAAAGTAAATTGAAGTTATTTATCTTCATTACTAGAGTTTATGATGGTAGATAACTGTTACATTTATTAGGTTACATTAGTCGGTTCCGTAAAAACCAAAACAATTCCATGACTCGCTTTTTGCCTTTCCCGGGAAGTCAAAAACGTGTTTTGTATGGGCTGTATCTGACATGATTTAGTAATATTACTAATAAAAGCTGAGTTGATCATTAATAATACAATTAGTTTTATCGTGAAAGCAGACGATTTCTCTACAAATCAATCAAGAGCAAAGAAGGGAGATAATTCTAATTTTACTATATATCACGTGCGATTGTCAATGTTCACAAAGTGCATGACCTATTTTAGTTTTGAACTAGTAATAACAACAAAAACAACAAAAATATTAAAATAATGTATTTAATCTTAAAGTTTAGTTTTTTTACAATAATATATATTTAAAATGTGCCCGTTTGTAAGCAGAGGGGGAAAATAGTTGTTGTGTTGACGTTGTGTATTCATTCATCCGTCTGCTAATGCCAGACTACGGCAAGTTCAGTCATGTGAAAGTGACCGTAACTTGCCGTCAGAAGGTAAATATACTGATAATCGATATTTGAATTTCAATATCGATTATCGTATCGCTAAATAACTTCTACCGATTATATCGATATTTTTGCACAGCCTTAACCTCTACAGGGACCATAAGCTAAAAACGTACGTATGAGGAGCGGCCATTTTATCCGGCAGTTTTGGTCCGATTTTCATGAAATTCAAACTCAGACAAAATTACGGTGTAACAGTGATATATTCGTACTTTTTTTTAAATCGAATAATAGGATATAGGGTCCACAAGCTAAAAATATTATTTTTCGTACAATCAGGGGCCATAATTCAGGAATTTATGGTCCGATATGCGAAATCGGATAAAAATTGCGACATCTACAGCTAAAAACTTGATTTTTCATACAATCAGGGGCCATAATCCATGAAGTTACAGTTCGATACATGCCAATATCGAAAGGAACAGAGATCTTAGGGTGATAAACCTATATTTCAAGTTTGATTGAAATTGGATAAAAATTGCGACCTGCAGAGTGTTCACAAACAATTGTGGCTGGACGGACGGAGGTGACGACAATATATACGTCCACATGATATCTGAAACTCAAGTAAATTATTGATAGATATTTTGTTTCGAAAACTTTTCGGTAACCCATGAAACTCAAATGCCTAACAGTTTCTAGTTTTTACATGTACAATAACATTTATTTTTTCCCAAGATTTCTGAAAATTGACCCACTTGACATGGAATGACCCATATACCCTATATGAAATATTTGAATATCAAAATCTGCCAAGAAGCTGTCCAGTAGATTTTAGAGAGTTCATAAGAAATTCAGGATAAATATCGGACAAAGGTTACAACAACATATACATTTCTAGATCAGTCACATTACTTGGTCACTGATCAACCAGATTGAGATTTTAATAGAAGAACATGATTATTGTTTACTTACAAATCTAATGGATAAAAGAAGATTACAACATATTTCCCTCTGTAAGATGATAATTTTACTTCTTTAAATTCACCATCAACAACAGCCTGAGTGGTAAATTCAGGAGCTGGTTTTGTAAGTTTCAGTTCACTGAGAGACATTTTTGATTTCTGAAATTAAAAAAACAAAGATTTATAAAATGTTTTCATTGCTCATTAAAGGTTTTATAGCATTTGTATATTACATCATTGACCGTACACAGATTTTTGTCAAAAATTTATATTATTTTTATATAACTGCACTGACAGTAAATAACTTATCTCCGGTACATGAAGTAGTGTTCAACCAGTGTTATGCGGATAAGAACGTCCCACCAGAAGCACTAGTGGTATTAATGGTCGCAGTCATCTTCTATGTTCCAGTTGTTGTTGTTTGTATTTCGAGGAGAGCCGAAAAAAGCTCCCCTCAATCAACAAATTAGTGTATGGGAAATGGTTCTGAAGATCAATAACTGCATATAATGGGGTCATTCCTGGTTTCATAAATGATAATAAACCAAACCCCCAATGACTTTGTAATGGAGAGCGATTTTCAATTTTGAGGGGAGGGAAAAAAAACTCCCCTCGGTCGAAATTCAGGAGAGCGGCAGGCGATCGAGAGTGATCGTTCGCCTTAAAAAAACAAGGACTGATGTTTATATACCCACATAACATTGACTGAACACTGTCAAATAGAAAATGAAAGAGAACAGCAAGCTGGGGGTCATAAAATGCCTGGATGATTTTCTTATTTTTTTTTTTTTTAAATTTTGTCTCATTTGATAAGAAATAGTGAAATTTTATTATTATAATATTTTTCCATTCTATGTTAATTCTATGAGAAATGACAAAATTTTATGAAAATATGTTCTTATATTGTACGGTCCCTGTAGTACAGTACATGTACATATGTAGGCCTTAGAGCAGATTTAGCACTTCAGGAGATTTTATCGCAAAAAAAAAATATTTTGATCTGCCGTGACTTGACCATACAGTTGTATTGATTACAAGTCATAGTAGTATACACATTGGTTATATTGTATTGATTACAAGTCACAGTAGTATACACATTGGTTTTATTGTATTGATTACAAGTCACAGTAGTATACACATTGGTTCTCAAGAAGTTCAATGGCTTGTCACTAAAAGTAGGTCAATAAATGTAGGCCATTGTTTGAATTTTTATAATTAAGTGAGTCTACCATAAATTCATTTTAATGTTCTTTTTTAAAATGAGAATGACATGCAATTTATATATTAATACAGTATTAATACAATATTTCCTGTGTAGCTACAATTAGGGACAATGTATTTGTTTGCCCTACATGTACACCCACTCCACTGACAGAAAAGAACTAATTTTACCTAGATAATAAATTACTATTACTACTACATTTAAAGGGACATTATGGGAAATTAAATAAAGAGTTGACAGTTCTCACTATAAACCAGCGGCTGCCAGACTGGATACGACCACATTTTGCAAGAGATGGATAGTGAACATGATAAAAACAAACATGATTTTTTGTACAATCAGGGGCAATAATCCAGAAAGTTATGGTCTGAAATGTGAAAATATCAAAAAGGAGTGAGTTCTTTGGGATATAAAGATATGTTTTAAGTTTCATCACAATCGGATAAAAATTGTGACCTCTAGAGGGTCCACCCACAACCTTTGTATTACATACTTTTACACAATTTGCGTACAAATAGCGGCCATTTTGTTGGGCAGTTTCATTTCAATTTTTCTGAAATTTGAATTCAACCTTCATTATGGTGGAATGGTGAAATATTTAAATGGTTTTTAAAATTGGTAAATAATTGTGACCTCTAGAGAATCTGCAAGCAAAAACTTGATTTTTTTGTACAATCAAGGGCCACAATTCAGGAAGTTACAATCCGATATGTGTGAAGATCGACAGGAACAAAGATCTTTGGGTTATAAACATGTATTTTGATATACCAGATGTTTACACTATTGCGTACGAGGGGCGGCCATTTTGTCCATTAGTTTTGGTCCAATTTTCACTAAATTCAAACTCAACCAAAATTACAGTGTAACAGTGATATTTCGAATGTTTTTTTTTAAATCAGATAATAATTGTGACCTCTAGTGGGACCACAAGCTAAAAATGTGATTTTTCGTATAAGGAAGGACCATAATTCTGGAAGTTACGATCCGATATGCGCGAATATCGAAAGAATATTATAAACATGCATTTCAAGTTTCATCAAAATAGGGTGAAAATTCTCAACTCGAGCATGTCCACAAGCTAAAAACGTGATTTTTCGTAGAATCAAGGGCCATAATCCATGAAGTTATGGTTTTGCTGATACATGCCAACATCGAAAGGAACCGAGATCTTTGGGATTTAAAGTTTCGTCAAGATCAGATAAAAATTGTGACCTGTTGAGTTGTCCACAAACAAATTGGTGACAGCATGATATGTCCACATGAAAAGGTGGGTGTATAAAAATAGATAAGGTAAATAGAATATGCTGAAAATTTCAGTCAAATTGCTCCACTCTGAACGGGGACATTAGCTTTTGAATTTTAGGCTAGCCTTGATCATCATTACTTAAGTCAGTATGATAAAAGATAGGTTGTCAGGCAACGAAACGTATGCCCACAGCAGCTAAATCGTCAGAGAGGTCGACAAGGGTTGTTGCATATTTATTCTTTTGTAGGTAATTGGGGGCATTTTCACAAGGTTCTACGAACTGAAACAAGGGCCTTAACTCTGGAAGTAATTTACAGAAAATTTTTAAAATTTGATATAAATTTCATACAAATCGGATGATAACTTTGTCATTCGAACGTTCACAAGGTTCACAAAGTAAAAAGGTAGGTTGCCAGGCAACAAAACATCGTACACAGCAGCTAAATCGTCCGAACGGTTGACAAGGGTTGTCGCATATTTATTCCTTTGTAGGTAATTTTTGTCGTTTGAGGGTTCACAAGGTTTTACAAACTGAAACAAGGGCCTCAACATTGGAAGTAGTTTACAGAAATTATTGAAATTTGACAGGCTTTTCCGTTTTACTAATTGAAAGAATGCACATAAATATCATACAGATCCAGATGATCACTTTTGTCATTCAAATGTTCACAAAGCAAAACAGGGGCCATAACTCTAGAAATTATTGACGGAAATTGCTGAAATTCAATAGACCTCTGTTTCACAAATTTAAATGATGCATATCAATTTCATACATATCGGATAACTTTCATTAATCGAGCATTAACAAGGTTGAACAAATTGGAACAAGGGCTATAACTCTAGAAGTCATTATTGTGAATTGCTGAAATTCAATAGGCTTTGTGGTTTCACTAATCTAAATAATGCATATAAATTTCACAAAGATCGGATGATAACTTTCGGTGTTAGAGTGTTCACAAGGTTCAATAAAGTGAAACGAGGCATAATGCTAGACATAGTGAACGGAAATTGCTGAAATTCAATAGGATTGTTCTTTTTACTAACTTAAATGGCACATTAATTTCATACAGATCGGCAGATAACTTTAGAGGTTAGAGCTTTCACAAAGTGCAACAAAGTGAAACAAGGGCCATAACTCTAGAAGTAATAACGGAAATTCCTGAAATTCAATAGGATTCTTCTCTTTACTAATTTAAATGATGCATGTAAATTTCATACACATCGGCAGATAACTTTTGATGTTAGAGCGTTCCCAAGGTGCAACAAAGTGAAACAAGCGTCATAACTCTTAAGTATAAATTGACAGAAATTGTTGAAATTTAATAGACTTCTTCGTTTCACTAATTTAAATCATGCATATTATATAAATTTCACAAAGATTGGGTAATAACTTTTGGCGTTATAGCGTTCACAAGGTTCAATAAAGTGAAACAAGGGCCATAACTCTAGACCTAACAAATGGAAATTGCTGAAATTCAATAGGCTTCTTCGTTTCACTAATTTAAATAATACATATAAATTTCACAAAGATCGGATGATAACTTTTGTCGTAATAGCATTCACAAGGTTCAACAAAGTGAAACAAGAGCCATAACTCTAGACCTAACAAACTGAAATTTCTGAAATTCAATAGGCTTCTGTGTTTCACTAATTTACATAATACATCTAAATTTCACAAAGATCAGATGATAACTTTTGACGTAATAGTATTCACAAGGTTCAACAAAGTGAAACACGGACCATAACTCTAGACATAATGACCAGAAATTATTGAAATTAAATAGGCTTCTTCATCTCACTGATGTAAACCACATACATCAATTTTAAACAATCGGATAATAACCTTTGGAGCTTTGGAGTTAGAGCATTCACAAGAACGACAGACAGACAGGGGCAACGGCAATATACGTCCACATTTCCATGTGGGCGTATAACAATGAACAGAAATCTAATCACATAGAAGTTGCCCCATCATGACTAATCGTAACAACACATTAGAGCAATATGATTCAACAGTTTATCTTGATCCATGTGAAATAAGTTTTGCTCATCTAACTTGATTGTGATTCTTATTAAAGAGTTCAGTTCATACTTTAAAAAAAAGGTTTGCAACAGTAAAATACCATACTGGTAATCATTTTATAGAAAGTAACTTTGTGATAACCAACCTGCCTACTTGATGTTAAGATTTAGAAATCAGATGAATAATCAAGCTTACAGACTCTCCTTCAATATTTATATTAACACGACTTGTAGGCCACAATAATAGAAAATTGTTTGTCCTACACATATCTACATGTACAAGTATATATACCTAAGTCAACTACTTGAAGCCCCAGAGACACACAACTTTAAGGCCAGTACATGTAACATTCATTTTAAATTTACAGTTCAACCTTTACATTTATACTTTTGACTTTGAAAAAGCAATGTTCATTACTATTTAAATAACTTACTTGAAATATTATGAAAGAACACACGAATGTTTAGTTCATAGTAGCCTAAGTATCCTGGATAGTTTATGTGACAATCACATGTTTACCAGGATGATATTGCTTAAGCACGTGTTGTCTTCTTAAAAAGGATTGCTGGTATTTCTTTTAATACTTCACACATAGGTTTCAAATTTAGGTGACTACAATTTATCTAGATAATCATTTAATTTAAGTAGTCAAACACAGTGAAATACAT